CGACTGACCTAAGGACGGGGCCACTGGCCGGCTGCTCCCGCGCCAGTGCTCGCCAGCTCAGCACCGCGGCCCCGGCGCGGAGGCCTCTCGGATTGCCCTCCCCCAACGGAGCGGAGGCCCGCAGATTTCTGCCGGTGCGTGGACGTGCTGTGGGGCGGCCGGGGAGAGAGCTTTTCCCGAGGGACCGCGGGACCGCTGCCCTCCCCTTTCTCTTCCGGCCGGGCTCTCCAGGAGAGGGACGGAGGAAACGAGCGCGCACCTCCCCCCACCCGGCACTGCCCCAGAACTCAAGGAAGCTTTAGAGGAAGCTTTAGAGTTAGAGGTCCTCCTGCGCCTGCAGTCTTGAGACGCGAGGATTTTTGTTTGACCCGACTTCTGCTTCCTGCTTTTGGCTCTTTCTCTCAAAGCTTGGGACCCTGTTCTGATGAAAGGATACGTCGCTGAAGAGCATCAAGGTGATTCCTTATTTGCCTTTTCTTTTTTATCTCCGCTAGGCAGGATCAACCCCCGGTCCACCATCTGCTCCCTTTGAGCAGTTTTGGATTTGAGTCAGAAGAATTGAGTTGGAATTCTAACTTGCCCTGTTCAAGTGGTCTTAATAGCATGCTATTGTGTATAGTCTTTCTTACATCTATTTAAGTTGGTTGGGAGAGCTAAATGAAGAATGCAGAACGTTAGTCGTGAAATGTTTTGTGAGTCCTGTTAGAGTAGTTTTAAGTACATTTAAGAGCTGACACGAAAGGTTCGAAATAATGGTTGGTTTTTTTCCCCTCCCTTTCTGGGGAGGAATATTTCTGGGGAGAATAAGTAGGCTTGGCATGGTGAAGGGTGCTAGAAGAGACGCCAGGATCTTGTGTGGTCAGAAAGTTAACTTCCCTCTGGGCTTGGGGTGAGCAGCATCAGGAAGAGGCTAGACTTTCTGTCACCCACATGTTTCATATTTATTCCTAAGTCGTTATTGGTATATGGGCAACCAAAACCCTACACCAACCCACTGCTGTTGAGTCCATCCCAGCTCATACTGACCCTATATAGGTTTATGGGGCAGACAGCCTCATCTTTCCCTCTGGAGCAGCTGACGGGTTTGAACTGCTGACCTTGTGGGTAGCAGCCTAGCACTTACTTGACAGACAGGGCTTCTTATGGTACATGGGAGAGGAGCCAAGTCAGATTTGCTCGTGAAGCAAGATGGGTTTTGCCCAGTGCGCCTTTCTAGGAGAAAAATTAGGAGATGATTCATTTAATAATCCTTGACCCCCTAAAAGGAATCCTCTGCACATATATCTGAGGATTCTTCACTCTGTCTCTAAAATGGTTCATGTTATTAGAATGTGTGCAGAGAATCTGCATAGAGGACCTTGAATATGTTCAGTGACTGGAGGTTACCAGTTGTAAGGTAATTTGAAGAGGCACCCATCTATCTCTGTTGGAGAAGGAAGAGCTTGTACCACTCTGTAGTTGTTAGTTGTCATCGAGGCGATTCAGACTCCAGCTGACCCCATGTGTGGAATGGATCCAACTTAGAGATGTGTTTGGGGAGGAAGGAAAGGAGACAGCCTGTGACTTGAGTGAATAGCACCTGCATTGACAGGCAAATTGAAGATGTGACACTGTCAATAAGTGTTGGACTGCTGATTACAAGGTCTGTGGTTCAAACCTACCAACTGCTCTGCTGGAGGCGATAAAGCTACCTGCTCCTGTAGAGATTTCCAGTCTCAGGAATCCTATGAGTCAGCATTGATACCTGGCAGTTGAGGGTTCCTGTACTCCATGGTGGCTGCTGCATGGTGTGCAGTGTTAGCTCCATGGACACAGCATTGCCCTTGAAAGTTATCACAACATGGCTGCACACCAGAATCAGTTCTGAGATTAAAACAGAACCCCATATGTCTGGACTTAGTGGGTGTGAAATGGGGATTTATTTGTGCTTTTTAGAAAACTTTCCAGGTGGTACTCTTGGTTGAGAACACAGGCAAATAGTAGGTTTTACAAGTTTAGTTTATAAACAGGCACAAAGAGGTGAAGTGCTCTGCCCAACTAGTTTGCTGCCTTTTATGCCCTGCTACCTTTTTCTTTTCCTTGCTTGAATTAATAGCACTAATTTCAAGTTTTTTAATTCCTCGAGACAGACAATAGGGGAGGGGGCCTCAGTAAGTCAGGTATTATAAGGTACCTTCAAGTCAGTTCCAACTCCTAGTGACGCTGTGTACAAACACATCTCGGTCCTGTGCCGTTCTCACAGTTGTTCTTATGTTTGAGCCCATTGTTGCAGCCATTGTGCCAGTCACTCTTGTTGAGGGCCGCCTCCTTTTTCTCTGCCCCTCCACTTTACAAAGCATAGTGTCCTGCAGGGACTGGTTTCTCCTGATAACGTGCAAAGTACACGAAACAAGTCTCACTATCCTTGTCTCTAAGGAACATTTTAGATGTACTTCTTCCAAGACAGAACTGCTTGTTCTTTTGGAAGTTCATGGTACTTTAAATATTTTTTCCAGCACCATAATTCATATACATTCTTCTTCAGTCTTTCTTATTCAGTGTCCAACTTTCACATACATATGAGGCCATTGAAAACACCAGGGCTTGTGTCAGGTGCACCTTAGTCCTCAAAGTAACATCCTTGCTCTTTAATACTTTAAAGCAGTGGTTCTCAACCTTCCTAATGCCGTGACCCTTTCATACAGTTCCTCATGTTGTGGTGACCCCCCGAACCATAAAATTATTTTCGTTGCTACTTCATACTGTCATTTTGCTACTGTTATGAATCCGGCGACTCCTGTGAAAGGGTCTTTCGACCCCCGAAGGGGTTGCGACACCCACAGGTTGAGAACCGCTGCTTTAAAGAGATTTTGTGCAGCAGATTTACCGAATGCAACACGTCTTTGGATTTCTTTACTTCTGCTTTCATGAACGTTGACTGTGGATCCAAGCAAGATGACATCCTTGATAACTTCAATCTTTTCTCCATTTACCGTGATGTTAGCTATTGGTCCAGTTGTGAGGATTCAGGTTTTTCTTTACATTGAGTTGTAATCCATACTGAAGGCTCCAATCCTTGATCTTCATCAGCAAGTGCTTCGAGTCCTCCTCATTTTCAGTAAGCAAGGTGTGTCATCTGCATAGTGCAGATTGTTAATAAGCCTTCCTCCAAACCTGATGCCACATTCTTCTTCATGTAAGCTAGCCTCTATGATTATTTGCTCAGCATAAAGATTGAATAAGTATGATAAGAGGATATAACCCTGTCATACACCTTTTCTGATTTTAAACCATTCAGTATATCCTTGTTCTGTTTTGCTCAACTGCCTTTTGATTTAATTAAGTACAGGCTCTGCAATGAAGTGTTCTAAAATTCCCATTCATTTCAAGACTATTCATAATTTGTTATGATCCACATAGCCAAGTAAGCATCTTTCTGGTATTCTCTGCTTTCAGCCAAGATCCATTTGACATCAGCCGTGGCATCCCTTGCTTCATGTCCTCTTCTGAATCCAGCCTGAACTTCTGGCAGCTCCCTGATAATGTATTGCTACGATTGTTGGATGATTTTCAGCAAAATTTTACTTGCATGTGATATTAATGGTGGTGTTCTATAGTTTTGAGCATTCTGTTGGGTCACCTTTCTTTGAAATGGGTACAAATATGGATCTCTTCTAATCAGTTGACCAAGTAGCTGCCTCCCAAATTTCCTGGCATAGATGAGCGAGTGCTTCCAGTGCGCCATAAGCTTGTTGAAATATTTCAGTTGGTGTTCCATCAATTCCTGGAGCCTTGTTTTTGCCTAATGGCTTTCAGTGTAGTTTGAACTAATTCCTTCAGTACCATTGGTTCTTGCTTATATGCTACCTCATGAAATAGTGGCATGGTGACCAGTTCTTTTTGGTACAGTGACTCTATCCTTTCTACCTCTTGATGCTTCTTGCACCATTCAATTCGATTTTGTTCATAAAATCTTCCAAGATTGTAACTGCAGTCTTGAATTTTTTGACTTTTCAGTTTAAGAAATATTGAGTGTGTTCTTCCTTTTTAGTTTTCTAATTCTAGGTCTCTGCACATTTCATTATAATACTTGGCTTAGTCTTCTCCAGCTGCCCTTTGAAATTTTCTATTTAGTTCTTTGACCTCATACTTCCTTCCATTTGCTTTAGTTACTCTATGATTAACAGCACTATTCAGAATCTCTTCTGACATCCGCTTTGATCTTTTCTTTCTTTCCTGTCATCTAATGACGGTTTGCTTTTTCCTGTATGATGTTCCTAATGTCCACCCACAGTTCCTCAAGCCTTCATCATTAATGTTTACTGCATCAAATCTGTTCTTGAAATTCAGGCAGAATATTTTGCCTCTTGTGGACATGTTTTATTTTCTTCAACTTCAGCCTGAACTTACATATGAACAATTGATGCTCTGTTCCACACTCAGCCCCTGGCCTGTTTTAGCTGCTGATTTTGAGCATCTTCAGAGTTTCTTCCCAGATGGAGTAAATTTGATTTCTGTGTGTTGCACCTGAAGTCCAGGGGAACAGCCAGTGTCTGTGTAACTCAAAAAGGTGTTTGCTATGAGCAAGTGGTTGGCCCTGCAAAACTCTATGATGCGATCTCCAGCTTTGTTTCTGTTACCTAGCCCATATTTTCCAACTACTGTGCCTTCTTTGTTTCCAACTTTTACATTCCAATTGCAATAATGTCAGTGCTTCTTGATTGCATTATTGATCAATTTCTGACTGAAAACATTGGTAAACTTCAGTTTCTTCATCACTAGCTTTAGTGGTGGGTGCATAAATTTGAATGATAGTTGTTTTGATTGGGTTTCCTTGAAGGCATGTAGATATAATTTTTTTTTTAAATCATTTTATTAGGGCCTCATACAACTCTTAGCACAATCCATACATACATCAGTTGTGTAAAGCACATTTGTACATTCATTGCCCTCATCGTTCTCAAAACATTTCCTCTCCACTTAAGCCCCCGGCATTAGGTCCTCATTTTTCCCCTCCCTCCCCGCTCCCCCCAACCTCATGAGCCCTTGATAATTTATAAATTATTATTTTGTCATATCTTGCCCTGTCCAACGTCTCCCTTCACCCACTTTTCTGTTGTCCGTCCTCCAGGGAGGAGGTCACATATAGTTCCTTGTAATGGGTTCCCTCTTTCCAACCCATTCTCCCTCTACCCTCCCAGTATCACCACTCACACCACTGGTCCTGAAGGGATCATCCGCCCTGGATTCCCTGTATTTCCAGTTCCTATCTGTACCAGTGTACATCCTCTGGTCTAGCCAGACTTGCAAGGTCGAATTCGAGTCATGATAGTGGGAGCGGGGAGGAAACATTTAGGATCTAGAGGAAAGTTGTATTTTTCATCGTTGCTACATCGCACCCTGACTGGCTCATCTCCTCCCCGAGACACCTCTGCAAGGGGATCTCCAGTGGCCTGCTAATGGGCTTTGGGTCTCC